GAGGGGGCCCCCGCCGCACCGCCGCTGCCAGTGCCACCGGGAGTGTTGACGCCCGACCGCGTCGTGAGGGTCGCCGACGTGAGTCGGTGTCCAAGCACCGGCGTAGGTGCGCGACTCGAAGTGCGCGATGCCGGCCGCGAGATCGCCGTACCCGACGTGATGCCGGTGAACGTAGGCGATGCTGGTCTCGAGATGCGCACCATCGTCGGGGTGGTGGCGCCTCGTCTGGCCGAGATGCGAGCGCCCTCGTCTCGGCTGCTTGGCAGCATGGAGCTGCGCTTCTTGGTCCGAGTGTTGCGCCGCGCGAACAGCGACGGGAAGGTGGAAGACAGCGTGAGCGCCACGCGGCGGACAGGCCAACCGAGCGCACCGACAATGCCAGTGTTGCCGTGCTTGCGCGCCGAGCCACGCGCGCCGCGACCAGCCGAACCGCTCGAGCCGCTGCTCTCTTCGGAGCTGCCCTCGGAGTTGAAGCCGAACTCGGCCTCCATGGTCGGGCTGTAGTCTTTGCCATCGGCACGCTTGCCGAGCTTGGACCAGAAGCCCCGCTTCTGCGCGTCGCCAGCTGCCTCTTCCATGTTGGCCAATACGTAGTCGCCGCGGCCGGTGCGCTTCGAGCTGCAGAGACCACCAAATGTTCCGAGCGGGGGAGGCAGCATTTCCTTGATCGCGGCGCGTCGCCTTGTGGCTCGCGGCCCACGACCGCGCGTGCATATGCACGTCAGCAGCAGCAGCAGGAAGACGGCCACCATCGAGATCATGTAGACGGGGCTCACGTGGCGACTCGCTTCACCGAGCGCAGGCGGGAACGCCGAGCCTTCGCCCGTGGTCGGCCACTTGGGCCTGAAAGGATCCCACTTGCCGAGCTTCGAGTTGGCCTTGTTGAGCTCGTCGAAGGGCGAAGGCAGCGAGCCCGGCGCCGGAGGAATGTCGCGACTGGCTTCGAGGACCGCCTTGCCCAGCGTCCAGCTGACCGAGAAACCGTCGATGTCGTTGACGCTCTGGAAGAGGTTCTTCTGCTCACCCTTGCCCTGCGCCTCGTCGGCGTGGTCGGTCCCATCGCCAGCTCCCTTGTGGTCGACGATGCGCGGAATGCCGATGCCTTCGTGCAGGACAGTGGTCATCCAAGCGGCCTTGAAGCACTGGGTCTGCAGGCGGTTGAGCTGGACCTCGGGCCCGAAGAGGTCGCCGACGTCGAGATGGTGCTTGAGTTCAGCCCAGGGCTTACCACAAAAGTCGACGGCAGCCTTCTGGAAGTCGACAAAGTCGTAGACGCCGCCAAGGCCAAAGACGTCCTGCGAGCTGAACCAGTATTCGGAGACGCCGATGAAGTGGTTGACGCTGAAGTCGATCTTGGGCACGTGAACTCCATGGAACAAGCAGGGCGGCTTTGTGCACGCGGCCTCCTTGTCGAGAAGCGGATGGAGGGATTCGAGACAGGCGGTGAAGTTTCCGGTGCCTGAAAGCGCGAGGTCATGAGCACCCGTGGCATCGGAGAGCTGCAGACCCGAGTTGAGACACGGGTCAGGCAGGGCCTTGGGACTGCTCTGTGAAGCACTGCTGTCGTGGCGGAGGAGGTCGAGGTAGCGCTGGCGAGCTTGGTTTGTGCCGTAGCCGAGGAAGGTGGTGACGAAGACCTTGTGCGAGACTTCGGTGCCATCGAGCATGCGCAGCGAGACCGCGGTGAGATCAGCTTCGGCAGCGGCGCCCTCGCCTTGGAGCGCCTTCTTGCTGGGCTCGAAGGCGATCTGCGTGCTAGCGCCGCCCATGTCGAGGAAGCCGAATGTGGACTTGCCCTCGACCACGTCTGTCTCGCCGTCCAGTGAGGCTTGCTTGCCGCGGATGTGGAAGCCGTCCATGAGGTAGTTGACCGAGATCCAGCCGAGCAGGCCTTCCTCTTCGCCACTGATGACTTGAACGTGCTCGCTGCATCCGCCGCCATCGATGCTGAACGACGTGTGCTCGCGAATGTAGCGACAGGTCTCGCTGAGGACGGCTTCGCGCTGGTTCTCGGGGAGTAACCTCATGCCAGCGGTTGCCATCACGTAGATCGGCGTCTCAGCCCAGGCGGAGGGAGGCACGATCTTCTCGGCGTGGTCGAGGAGCTCTTTGAGATAGCTGCCCACATCAGCGGGGTGATCGCCATAGGAGGAGAGACCGGGCTCGACCTTCATGCTCCAGTCTACGCCCGAGTTTTCCCAAGTTCCCTTCTCGACCTTGGGTAATACGGTGGCGTCGAGACCTTTGCTGGCTCTCAACGCGCGCTCGAGCTTGGGATCTTTCCACGAGTAGACCTGCATGCGTGAGCCGGACGAGCCGGCGTCTACGAGCACGGCATACTTGCGGCCTTCGAGCCAGGAGGCTGGTGCGTCGAGCTGAGCGGCGCCAGGAGCAGCGCCCTTGAGGGGCGACTCGTTCAGCTTGGGCTTTGCCGCCTTGGCCGCGGCATTCCACGTGAGGGCGTCAGCTACGTTCTCGCGGACGGCAACCTGCGCGGACCGCGGCTGCTGCCATTGTTGGGACCTCTGCTGATTTGCCCGCTGAACAAGCCTCTGCCGTTGGCGCTGCTTGATCGGAGTGTTGAATGTGTAAGCGCCGTACGGCTGGGATGACGATCCCTGTATTGGGTAGCTCATCGCTGCTGCTGGAGTCGATGCGAGCGAGGAGCGCCGGGGTGTTGGATGGAATGGGACAGAGACTAGGCGAGCTCACTGCAGCATGTGAGACTGAAGAGGCGGGCGATGGCGGCTACCTTCTAGCGGCAGAAGGGCCGTAGGATGGATTGTTTTCCTCGTCCGTGGGTGTTGTAGATGAACGGATGCTGATGTGATGTGACGGGAGAGAAGGTGGCGACCGGGCGTATTCCGACTTGGATCCTCGCAGTTGCTTTGAATGAGCAAGGACGCGTAGCCAGCTATGCTGGTTCAGACGACGAGAGAGCTGACGCTGTAGGGTGAGAAGGAAAGGCGGGGGGGGGGACGGAAAGGTGAGGGTGTGGTGGCAGAGGGACTGGTGGTCGGGCGTCGGGAAGGCCGAGCGAGTGGGAGAGCAGGGCAGCGGCGGCGTGCAGCCCGGCGAGATTCGCAGCAGCGCACGCCGAAGGGAGTTCGGTGCGGAGCGTGCGCACGCCCGGGGACCACAAAAGACGCGGGCACAGGCGTGAGGGATTCGCGGTGGCGCAAGGCCCTGCTTCTTCGCGCAGCAATCACATCCACAAAAATTCGAGACAAGGGAGCCAGACGCGAGTGGGTTGCTGCATTTTCAAAACAAGCGGTCAGGCCCCCACACACTCTCATGCACGCAGGCTCATTTTGGTGAGAAAGGGGGGAAAGGGGGGATGTGCCCCAGGCAGCCCTCTCGGCGAGCAGGCACAGGGACAAGCACGGCACAGGAGCAGTGCGCCCAATTCGCCGAGGCCGCTCCGGGTTGGGTACAGTCCGGTGCAGTGATTGAACGATTGAACGTGGGGGGAGGGAGACGAGGGGCAAAATGCTGGCTGCTGAGTGTGCGTGGCCACGGTGGTTTCAAATCAAGGCGCCGTGCCAACCGCGGGTGTCCGAAGCATGCAGCAGCAGCAGCTAGAAAAGTAATTTAAGGAAGGGGGCATCGTTCCACGAATCGATGCCATGAATTCGGACCGACCGAGCGAGGTGCACCTCGACCGGCGTCGGCTGTCTCCGACACTGGCGATACGCCCCATACAGCCGTATCTCAGAATTTCGAAAAATCAGTGGGAGGGGAGGGCCTCTCGATTCTTTTTTTCGTCCTCGAGGGATGTTTTTGCCATGTGTGCCGCCAGAAAGGGCGACGCGCACGCCTTGGGGTCTCGCTAGCGCAGGAGGTGAATCAATCGCCTGCACAGCCCAACCCTCGCGTGCGAAAAATCTGTGGATCGAGTGCCAACTTCGCATCCAGCAACACGGGCGAGCGCCAGCCGCCGCGACCGCGTCCGCGTCCGCGACAGCATTGCAGCTGCCACCGGCACCCGGCTGCACGTAGAGCTTGTTTACCTTTCTTCTCTTCCCTGTCGGCGTGCTCGCGGCGGGCCTGACCCTGGAATCATCCCGCGGCTTCCGCGCTAAAATCTCGCCGAGGTGCAGTCGTGAATGCTGCCCTGCTGAATGTGGCTTCGTGGAGATCCCCCTCACTTTTTTCCCCCTCGAGAGCGGGGTAAAGTGCGCCTGTGCACACACTACACGACTGTCGGCGCAAGGCAGTTCGAGCGAGGCTTCTGTCGCTACCACGCCGGGGCAACAGTCTCATCGTCGTCCGGAGGCT